TTTTTAGGGTATTTTGAAGAGAAATGCTGGTAGTTCTTGCTTTCACTAACTTTATCGTCTGTCCTTCCTCCTCATCTGACTTCTGTGAGCTAAGATAATGCTGCTTTTATCTCCACAAGGTTTGAAGGCAGTCCAGAAGGTTCGTTTTCTGTCTTCTGACTTAAAGTAAGCAAAAACTGTTCTACTCTCTTCCATTCTCTATCCCTGCTCCACTACTTTTTTCTTGAGGGGACAGAAATCTTTCTTAGGCTTGAAATTTGCTTGGAGATCGTTTCATTCATCTTTGGTGGCTTGTTCTAGATGAATTTAAACTTTAATAATAATCAGTAGGTAAAAGTGACTAAGAGGACCTTCCCTAGAGCTTCTGGCCAGAGGATAAAAATGTGTAGCTGTTGGAGAGGCAACTTCTGACTTTTGGTGAAAGGATACCTACTTCCCTAAGGTTAAGGAGGAGTCAACTCCAAGGCAACTAACAACAGCAACAAGGAGGTTAAGTTTCTTAAACTTAATTATTCATAGCTGTAACTTTTCTGGTGAATCAAGTACTCATCTTAATTTCTAATTTCTGACCTAGTATTTTACATGCTAGCTCATCTCGTGACAAAGACATTCAGTTTCTATTTCTATTGAAATTAATGATGCTGATTAAATTACATATGCTAATATTCAGAAGGAGCTCTGGTGGCATAGTGCCTAAGGCATTTGACTGCTAACCAGAAGGCTGGCCGTTCAAACCCACCAGCCACTCTTCGGAAGGAAGGTTGGATGATCTACTTCTGTTGTGATACCGCCTCGGAAACCCAAGGAGGGGTCGCTATGAGTCGGATATGACTTGATGGCAGTAGGTGGAAGTATTCAGAGGTTGATAAAGAAAATAAATGTTTTGCTTTTAAATGTGCCATGTAAGAAAAATCACGATCCAGAACAAAAGCAGCATTTGTTTCTCTGTTCCTGCTCCAAGAAACCGTCACCATTTCTCCGCATAAGAAGATGAAAAACTGAACTGAAGAGCTCAACTGTTACTGCTGTCACCTGCCACTGAGTCGGATCCCGACTTATGATGACCTCATGCAGCAGAACGAGATGCTACCCGGTCCTGCATGACCATCGTCACATTTGGGTTGCAGCTCACACCACTGCGATCCTTTGGGTTTTGAATGGCTGATTTTCAGAGGGGGTCTCCAGGCCTTTCTTCCTTGTCCATCTTTGTATCTGGAAGCGCCACTGAGACCTGTTCAGCAGCATAGCGGCATACAGGCCTCCATTGACAGATGGGTGGTGGCTGCACTTGAGGGACGTTGGTCTGGAGTCCAACCCACATGTCCTGCATGAAAGGTGAGCCCTCCATCATTGAACTACCAGTCACATCAGAAATAAAGATAAGCACTAGCCCTCCCCACTTCCCACGGAAAGCACACCATTAGTGAAGGCACACCTAATGATCTCATACTGTAACAATAAAGAAGAAGAATTGTACGTTTACAAGATCACTGAGAAAATGGTCTGTTGGGAAATGCCAAGTGTGGAGAAGGCATTGAGAGAAAGTGTTCACAGGATGCCACAGGAAGCACTCACAAGCCTGGGCAGATTCTTGCCTTGGAAGCAAGAACTTAACTTTTTGGATTTCCCCTCACTTTGAGGATCCTTCAATTTCCACGTGACAGTCCTGGTATAGCCAGATATGGGTGATTTAGGCAATGTGGATATAAGTCTCAAGGTTTATGCTATAGAAGAATGCCAGTCTCCTCCTTGAGTTTTAAAAAGTAAAATAATAGTTTTAGCAGTATTACTGTCTTTGATTGTCAAGGTGGCACTGTGAGTAATGCTACTAGAATATACTTCTTAAAATACTAGATTTGAAAAAATACAGGGCTTTCCCTCAGGAAGAAGCGTGGGTTATGACAAGCCTCACACTTGGGGAGGAGGCAGAATGGATGACTGAAATAAAGCTGGGGTGGGTTTGAATTCAGCTACTGATCTGAGGCTTTGAAAGGGAATCGTACATTGCAAGGTCTTACCTCTCCTTTTTACGCAAAAGTGAGTCCCGCCTACTGGGTCTGGGCAGTCCCTGACTTTAGAACATCTCTTCCAGGCATCAGTCTTCTGCTTGTCTTCCCAGGAGTTCTCTTTCCCTTGTCCTTCCTGAATTTCCAGACCTTGCTTATCCATGTCACATTTTTAAAGCAACTGGGTTTTAAATACCTACCCCACATTCTCTTCCTTCCTGTTGGCCCAACTCTACACACCTTGAGTTTCTTCCTCTCCCCTCACTCCCCTGGCCTATAACCAGTTCAAGCTCAGACCCTCAGACTTAACTTTCTTCTCCCTCATCCTCCTGGGCTGACTTGAGCCTCATAACATTTACAGGAGAGTACAGAGGTGTAGACTCTGACAGACTTGACTTGGAAGCCTGTTCACTGTGTGACCTTGGGCAAACTCTTTATGCCTCAAAATAACAGATTAACTTCCTGGAAGAAGTACAGATGGAATGCCCCTTGGAAGTGAGAATGGCCAGACTTTGTTTTACTCACTTTGGTCATGTTGTCAGAAGGGACCAGTCCCTAGAGAAGGATATCATGCTTGGTGAAGTGGAGGGTCAGTGAAAAGGAGAAGACCCTCAACGAGATGGATTGACACAGTGGCTGCAATGATGGGCTCAGGTACAGCAAGGATTGTGAGGCAGCACTGGGCAGTGTTTTGTTCTATTTTATATGGGGTTGCTATGAGTCAAGCCAACGTGATGGCATCTAACAGCAACAACCTTATCTGTAAGGTTAGAATGATGGTAGGAACACATAATGGCGTTGTCAGGAGAACCAAGGAATAATGTGTGGTCTCATTCCGCAGCCTGGGGTATAGTCAGAGCTCAGGAAAGTACCCTATGATAATTATTATTGCTATTGAGAATAACATTGTTTACAGTCATGCCTCATTTTATTGTGCTTTGCTTTATTGCACTGTATAGATACTGCCTTTTTTTCAAATTGAAGTTCTGTAGCAACCCTGCATCAATCAAGTATATTAGCACCATTTTTTCAACAACATATGCTTACATTGTGTTCTATATCACATATTGGTAATTCTCACAGTATTTCAAACTTTTTCATAATGCTGTTGAGCACTTAATAGACTACAATATAATGTAAACATAATTTTTACATGCACTGGGAAACCAAAAAACTCATGTGACTAGCTTTATTGCAATATATGCTTTATTGCAGTAGTCTAGAACCAAACCTGCAATATCTCCAAGGTATACCTATATGTGATTTTTAATTGTGATTTGGGTGAAAGTTTACAGAGCAAATTCACTTTCCATACAGCAGTACTCATCCACTTTGTCTCATGACATTGACTACAGTTTACCACAATGCAACAGCTCCCCTCTCACCTCCTCCCCACAGTTACCTTTTCCCTGTGTCCTTCCTTCCATACACTCCGGCCCCCTGAGCTGTCCCCCTGTATATACACAGCCCTTCTATTCTCCCGTGATTGTTCTTTCCAATGAGTGTATCTACCTAGTGTAAATGGTCACCTCATATGCCTGTCTTTTGTTTGCGTGGAAGCCATAGGTGTGGGTTCAATTCTAGACCTGAAGGCCAGCTAGGGGCCATAGTCTCAGTGGTTCCATCAGGCTCTATCAGACCAGTAAACATGGTGTCCCCCCCCCTTTTTTTTTTTCCCCAATGTTTTTTTTTTTTTTTTTGTAATTATGATTTGGGTGAAAGTTTACAGAGCAAATTCACTTTCCATACAGCAGTTCACATACACTTTGTCTCATGAAGCTCCAGGCTGAGCTTCTAAGAACAAGTACCACACTCAGAACTGATACAACGAGGAGGCCGCCAGGAGCACTGGCTGAAGTCTGTGCTGCACTCACTTCTGCCGTGGGCTCTAATGGAGCTGCCACTGCCACCATCAGCAGTGCCGCCATCACCTTAGTGTGAGGCTCACCATCTCATCACTGACACTGCGGCCAGTGCTAGAGAGAGAGGACGAGAGAAGAAGCACGCGCCATGTTTGCCTCTAGTATCACCAGCTCCTGAGGCCAAGTCTGGCACAGGGGCCTCTGAAGGGCTGAGCCCTAGTTATAGAGAAGGCTAGGAAACAGGCTCTGGTATCTCCCCTGGGGTTATGGGATCCCTAACATTGGCAGTTCTCCAAATATAGGAAGGCTGTTCAAAAAGTACAGGCAGCCACAAATAGGACAGGTGCCCACTAGAGCAGTGTGTTTCAATATTTGCCAGTAATAACCCTTCGGTTGGTGGTAAATAGATGCAGTGGATTGAGGGCCTGCTTTCTTTTGTCTATATTTTCTTTTGTTTTAATGAAATAGAAGCAGTGGTGTATCACTTGTAGTAAGGGCAAGTTTTGTCCTGAGGCACTTTGTTGCAGTTGTGCAGAGTCTGCATTTGTGTGTTGGAACTGGGTTGCCATGTAAAGGGATTTTGTTACCATGGGTCATGATATCAAAATAGCATGTTCCATTGCTCAAGGGGTGTGTGTCCAGTCACTCAGCACTCCACTTGTTTTCAAAACACACTGTATTTCCCTCTTCTCTCTCTCTCTGTCTCTCCTACACACACATACACACAGCTGGGCTTCCCAGAATGCCGCCAGATTCCTGGGTAGCTGGGAGATTCCACTCACAATATGTATTATAGAGAATTAAAGCCTACCCTGGTAATGTACTCACTGTTAGAACATTGCTTCCATGGAAAATCATGTGCTGTGTTCAAAAGAACAAACTTAAAAACAAAAAAGTTATATTTTTGTAAAGTACAGTGTGCTCTTTCTGATTGTGGTGATGCTTGGTACATTTTGATGAAACATGTCAATTTAGACTTTGACCTCAAAGTATATATGTTTTTTAAAAAAAAGTAACCTTGGAGAACGTTTTTTGTTGTTATCTATTTGGAGATCAATAGTGCTTTCTTTACTTTTTGTTTCCTCTGTTTGAAAACCATTCATTTTACTTCCCTGATATTATCTCTCTGCAGGTCCATTTACTCGACCTCATCCAGCTTTATGGAGAATGGTTTTTGGTGAGTTTCCACTAGAGTATATTTTTAAAAATACATGTTTGTAATCTTTTGTGTATATGAGGAAAGCAGTTTTTACCACTCTACAGTTACAACTTTATAGCTTTTTACTTTTTGAACTAATGAAATTGTTTATTGGTGTTCTTTGCTACAAAGTCAAGTCGTGGTGATGACTTAGTGCTCACATGTCTGTTACATGGGAGCTCTCACCTCCGCACACCCCTCCTTATGCCCTTGTCTCACAGGATTTGACTTGTTACGCTGTGTTTCCTTTATGCTCCTTCATGTTGCTGTGTGCTAGCACCAGCTCATAGGTAACCTGTGAGCACGTTTGTCAGCATCCAGGAGAGGATGAAAACCCAGCAATCCACTTTCTTCAGTGTCACACATAAGAAAGAACTTGGAGAAGGGAGAAGTCTTTAGGCAAAGAGTCCTAATGAAGTAGCCTTATTATTATTATTATTATTATTATTATTATATTATTGTGATTTGGGTGAAAGTTTACAGAGCAAATTCACTTTCCACACAGCAGCTCACATACACTTTGTCCCGTGACATTGAAATTTCCCACAATGCAACAGCTCCCCTCCTCCTTCCTACTTTCCAAGGCGATAAATCTTTACGGAAGTACATTGCCCAGCCTATTCCTCCCCGTAGTTACCTCTTCTCTGTGTCCTCCCCTCCATGCACTCCTGTCCCCTGAGCTGACTCCCTGCGCATACACAGCCCTTCTATTCTCCCATGATTGTTCTCTCCAAGGAGTATATCTACCCAATGTAAATATTCAGTTCATATGCCTGTCTTTTGTTTGGCTGGAAGCCACAGGAGTGAGTTAAATTCCAGACCTGAACAGCAGCTAGGGGCCATAGTCTCGGTGGTTCCATCAGGCTCTATCAGACCAGCAAACCTGGTCCCCTTTTTTTATTTTTTTGATGATTTTGAGTTTGTTTGACATTGTTCTCCCACTCTATCCAGGATCTCCTACATAGATCCCCCTCCGAGTGATTGATAGTGGTAGCTGGGCAACATCTAGTTCTTCTGGTCTCAGTCATATTGGCTGAAGATGGCATGGTGTACCAGTCACTTGGGTTAATTGTTTCCATGAATCTTTGGTTCTTCTTCATTCTTCTTTGCTCTGGATGAGGAGAGACCCATCAATGCATCTAGATGACTGCTTGCTAGCTTTTAAGGTCCCAGTTGTAAAGTAGTCTTCTTTTATGTTGTATGATTGTTGTTGTCAGTTGCCATCAGGGTGATTCTGACTTAGGTGTCCAGAGTAGAACTGCTCCATGGGGTTTCCAAGGCTGTGACTTAAGAAGCAGCTCAGCGGCCCTGTCTGTCAAGGCACCTTTGGGTGAGTTTGAACCACCAACCTTTGGGCTGGGAGTCAAGCACTTAACCATTTGTGTCACCCAGGCCAGGAACTCCATGCTAGTGTTCTTAATACTACACTAATGAAACAATGTAAAGGTATCTTGATACTTTATTTTTATCTAAGGCTAAAAAATAAAACCAAGCTTACTGCTGTTGAGTCAGATCCGACTCATAGCGACCCCTCCTTGGGTTTCCGAGGTGATACCTCTGTGGAAGTAAGTTGCCCAGTCTTCCTTCCGAGAAGTGGCTGGTGGTTTTGAACCACTAGCCTCCTGGTTAGCAGTCAAATGCCTTAGAAACTATGCTACCAGGCAATCGGATAAAAATTCTTTTTCAGAATTATGGTTCAATATTAGGTTGTTGTTGTTGTTGTTGTTATGTGCTGTGGAGTCAGACTCGACTCATAGCGACCCCTCCTTGGGTTTCTGAGGCAGTATCACTACAGAAGTAGATTGCGCAACCTTCCTTCCAAGGAGTGGCTGGTGGGTTTGAACCGCCAGCCTTCTGGTTAGCAGTCAAGTGCCTTAGGCACTATGCTACCAGAGTCTACCAGAGCTCCTCAGTATTAGGTATCAAATATATATTTAAAATACTTTCAATTAATGTTTAATGTTAAGACTCTAGTACGAGATACCTTATTTTTACTTGATTTTCTAGTCCAAATGGTCAAATCTGCTGGATGAATTTAAAATAAATCTTCATAGCTTTGCCTGTTTCAATAGAGGTTTCATCTTGCCTAAATAAGGCATCAGATGAATTATTTTAAGTTTGAGAAAGACAATCTTATGTGAAAATGTTAAAAAAAAATCCAGGAAAACCAAGCCTACTGCTATCAAATCAATTCCAACTCATAGCAACCCCCAATGGCTTTCCAAGGCTGTAAATCTTTATGGAAGGAGATGGCCTCGTCTCCCTCCCCTGGAGCGGCTGATGCAGACCTTCTGGTCAGCAGCCAAAAGCCTTACCTACTGCGCTCAGAGCTCCCTGAAAATGTAAAAAAGCGTTCTCCAAGTGGATTTCACTACAGGTTGCCTATTTTCCCTTTCACCTTCAAAGATCATAGGTAAATCTCTTTGTCTGTTTAAATTCATTGATGAACTTAATGTCATTCGCTCAGCAGGTGTTCACCAAGTGTTGCAGGGTGGTAGGTGCTGCTGTGGGCACTGAGGCCACAGAGGAAGACAGACAGACAGGCGCCTGCCCTCTAGGAGCCAACTTCCGCATAAGGGGGAAGGAGGATAGCTATAATGAACGAATTATTAAACAAACAAATCATCCAAAAATACAAATGTTGCTAAATATTAGGAAGTTAATTGGAACAGCAGGAGTTGATATTTACTAAGTGGTGCTTCGGCTTGGGTGGTGACAGAAGACTTGAACAGGTGACAGTTAAGTTGGAACCTCGTGTAAAGAAGGGTCAAACCACGCCGAGATGGTTGTTGGGGTGGAAGGGCATCCCAGACAAAGGAGAAAGCTGCTAAAATAGCCCTGCGCCTCAGGCATTTGACTGCTAACCAGAAGGTTGGTGATTCAAACCCACCAGCCACTCTGTGGAAGGAAGACTGGACAATCCGTTTCCATAAAGATTTACTGCCTTGGAAACCCAAAGGGGGTCACTATGAGTCAGAGTTGATTAGATGGCAATGAGTTTGGTATTTTGGTTTTTATAGCCAGAAAGAGTTTTGTGAATTCTAGGCCTTTGTGGCTGGAGTGTAGTGTGGGCCCAGGAGAGTAGTAAGAAGGGTCATGTGGTAAGATGTAGATAGAACCTGCCAGACTGATGGGCTAGCTAAGGAGCGTGGCCTGGGAGGGTGGTGGCAAGTCACAGGAGAATTTTTCTTAGAGGAGTGACTTGATTTCATTTACATTTGTAAAAAGATAGTCCAGGCTGCGTCATATTTGTACTTCATGGACTAAACATTGCTCTTTGATGTTAGGATATCAGTTACTTTGGGCTTGCTGGTTGGTTATATCTGAGTTTCTTAATTGGATGATCCATTTATGTGATGAATAGTTTTATTTCATAACCTGAGACGTTTTTTGCGCTTACAGAGTGTTTTGGTAATTGGTGAAAACTTTAGACCCTTTCCAGTACACACGCATAACTTGTACATGTTCTGCATATAATATCCAGTGTGACCATGATCTTCAGTTTAAGAACCTCTGTTGCACATACTTTATGTCCTAAGTAGTTATTTCAAAAGGATCATAATTAAAAGGTATAGTGGAGGCATTTAAGGTGAAAATTCCTAAACATAGCTGGTACAGAAGTGCAAACCTAAGGAGGCTCTCGTACTGACGAGCCTAACAGTGTGTGTCCACTGCACGATTGGGTTGTCCACACTGCTCCGAGCCTCCGCTGAGTCCCTGACGGCCCTGTTGGAATGCTTGGTGCTGTAACGGTCACAGTGGGTGTCATTCCAGCCATGCATGTTCTCCTCTGGAGCAGCTCACAGGGATTAGTGCCAAGCCAAATTTGGATGAGGTTCTGTGATCCAAGGTCATTTGTTTACAGTATCTAGAGATTGTCCTTCAACATGTTCATTCTAGTGGGTTTCACAAACGGGAATTGCAAAGCCATTGGTATTGATTTTGAATCTTTCTAAAATGAATTACACTCTACCTTCTTAAAGTGCATTAACTTTTTTTTTTAAATTGTTAAAGGTGATTTTTAGAGTAGCAGTTATGATAATATGCTATAATATAAAATGCTATAATATAATAATGCCTGTGAGGGTGAATAGAGGGTGTAACATACTCAGCTGCCCGTAGCCATTGAACTATTCCCCGACTGGCTGTCTACACCCACCCGTGCCCACTTCCAGTTCAGCCCCCACAGAGCAGCCGGAGGCACCTTTGTAAATTAGTTAGCATATCTTATTTCCCTACTGAAAACCCTTCAAGCTCTCTCCATGTCACTTAGGATAAACTCTGAAGTCTTGGCCATGGCCTTGTACTTCCCGTACTCCCTGGCCCTGCCACCTTAGTGTCATCTCTCTTCCTTCTTCCTTCTGCCAGCATGTCAGTATGGTCCCATCCTAAACATTTCCTTTTTCAGGGATTTATCAGCACCCTGATGTTGCAGCCACTCTTCACGCCCACCCACATACCCTTTGTCACTGGCCCTTTATGTCTCAGCTTAAACATCATTATCTCAAACTGTTACTGACACCCCCTCAATCTGAGTTAGGACTGTTCTCTTATCAAAGAAAATAGCAGATTGTATTAAGGGTTTCTACAGAGTACATAACAATAGTAGCGTCTGGTTTTGGCAATAAGCTATGAGTCTAATGTGTGTTGTGTGTCTGACAGTCGGGTCTCTTCTGAACTTGAGTATGCCCTTGTTTCCCTCAGGACTCAGTGTGCTCTACTTCCTGTTCCTGGTCTTCCTCCTCTTCCTGAATTTTGAGCAGGTGAAATCCATAATGTATTGGCTAGATCCAAACCTTCGTTATGCCACCAGGGAAGCAGATATCATGGTACGTACTTGTCAGTAGTCTCAGAGAAAATGGTGGATTCTTGGGTATAGAAGGTAGTTGATTTTACATTTTAAACTCGTCCTTCTCCACATTTCCTGTGTAGATATCTAAAACCCAGATCTCTGAGCAGGTCATTGAGGAGCATGGTTTTCCACATGCAGTACAGTCCAGGGAAATGGAATCCTTCCATGGAACAGAGCAGAGGGTCATGGTAGGAAGAATGTGAATGTAATCATCCGACAGCCACAGGCATTCTGCCTCTGTCACTTGTTAGCTGTAGGATTTGGGGAATACCGGTTGTTAGTTACCTTTTTGTTGGGTAGTAATAATACTTATTTTGGGGAGTTATTGTGAACTAAATGGAGCCCCCTGGGTGGTGCGAATTGTTATCATACTCAGCTGCTAACCAAAAGTTGGTAGTTTGAGTTTGCCCAAAGGCATCTCGGAAGAATGGCCTGGCAATCTACTTCAGAAAAATCAGCCCATTGAAAACCCTGTGGAGCACAGTTCTACTGTGACACACATTGGGTGCAGTTGGGTGGGGGCGGAGTTTACTGGCTTTATATGCAGTTGTGTTATGTACACACAAGGTCCTTGGTGATGGTGGCTGCTTCTGCTGCCCTCAGGGTCACCGTCACCACCACCTCCCCTAACGTCAATGCCAGAATTCTTCCCATCTGCTTGCTGTGAAGGACCACTTATAATTATTTAGGCCAGTTCTTTCTTTCTTTCTTTTTAATTTTATGCTGGGCTAAAACTATATTTTGGCTTTTTGTCAAGAGACTGTTTTATTTTTTAATGCCATTCTTTTCTTGTTTCTTTTTTTAAAATAACAAATCCTCATTTTTACTTTATTTACTTTTCAATAAGCTTAAATCTTTGAGAGCTACAGCATCTCACAAATTCTGTGTCCAATGGCTTTAGCAGGAAAGTTGCTTTGGAATTTGGCACAAACCAAGCCACAGTTTCCATGGGTGTGAGTTACCTTTCCCCAGATAACTCTGGTTTTGTTACGCTTGCTGCCAAGAGTCACTGTGTTGTTCTTTGCTTTGTACATGTAAGCGCATCTCTCGCCTAAATACAATTCAGTTTCATCTTGGGCATAAACACCTTCAGTTTTGGGAAGAGTTGTATGCTCCCTCTGGTTGCATATACCCCTTTTATAGACAGCAGAAATGGCCGTGGACCACAACCTTCCACACGTATTTGCTGGTTTAGAAGTCCTGTTCCCAGCAGGCCTCCATAGGCTCTAAGATGGCAGAAAGAGCCCTTTCTAATTTTTTTAGTGCCTAACATTTTATATAGGTTGAAGAAAAACAACAGGCATACTGGGCCATAGACAGGTTTGCTTTGACAGGCAGGAAATAACATGAAGGGAGTTAATACAAGCATCTAAGAAGTAATCATTCTGCCTTAGTTGAGATTGGTTAGATTTTTGCAATGGTGCTTTTAGAACATAACTTATAAAAGAAATACTAAAGGCAAAAATTCAAATGCCAAAAATTACATAAAAGTTTCTGGGAGAAAAATCTCTTTTGGAGTTTCTTACTGTGAGAAAGAGAATGATAAAGTTGGTTCACTAGTAAAATGGAAGGTCAGTGAAAATGAATGCGATTCATGAGCTGGATTGACATAATGGCTCTAACGAGAAACTGAAACCTACAAATTGATCATAAAGCTCTTACAGAACCAGGCAGTGTTTCCTTCTGTTACACGGTAAGATTGCCATGAGTCGGAACAGACTGGACAGCAACCAACAAAAACAAATGATGATGACGATGAAGATGAGGATGGAAACTTCCTGACTGCCGAGTGTCTACTGTGTCAGGTGCTGTGCCTGGTGTCTCACTGGCGTACATGCTAGGCCATTTTATAGGTGAGCAACTAGAAGCTTCAGAATACAAGCTGGTGGATCCCGGCTCCAAACCTATACTCTCCCATTGGACTGTGCTTCAAGTAAATAGTTAAAATACTAGTAAGTGCTTTGATGTTCACAGCAGTTCTTGTGAAATAGAAGTTGAGAGAAATAGATTTTTTCCTCACAACTCCATGGCATTCTGAAGGAAACTGACTTGCAGGTAGATTTGCTGGTGTGTCTCGGTTGATGCCATCTCACAGCCAGTGGGAGAAGGTGGAATTGCTTCTTGACATCTAGTATCCTTAGCAATGTGATGACACAAGGACTGTAGCAGTCACAGTTACAGCCTCCAAAGAGCTGAAACTGGCTTCGAAAATAGAGATTTTTTTTTTAAGTACTGGCTATTTCTTCCTGGCCAAGCAAAGCAAAGAGTGAGGCTGTTTTCGGCTGCAAGAGTTCAAGCTGATCTGGGGCACATTGTTCTCCATCCCTAATCACTCTTTACTTCCTGAAGGTAGTCTTCTATGTGCTCCTCAATCTGAGGACCTGCTTATGGGAGCAAAGCAGTTCTGCCTTGTAAACACCAATGCTTGTCCATTTTTCCTCAAGAACATTCAGCTAGTAAAGCTGGTTTCAAAGTGCACAGGATCTGTATTGGCTGTGAAGGCCGTATCAGTTCTGCTCATAGACTGTCAAAATTGTGGAATCAAGCAGATTGCTCGGGTATCATGAATTACTTTCCTCTTTATTTTAAATAGGAGTATGCTGTGAACTGTCATGTCATCACCTGGGAAAGGATTATCAGCCATTTTGATATCTTTGCATTTGGGCATTTCTGGGGCTGGGCCATGAAGGCCTTGCTGATTCGTAGTTATGGTCTCTGCTGGACAATCAGTATTACCTGGGAGCTAACTGAGGTAAGAAATGATGGGAGCTCGGGGGGAGGACCTCACCTTGGCTGTTTGTGCAGCTTTCATGTAGGAGGAGGATAGTCCATCAGTCACCAGTCAGTTAACCCATCCTCCAGCCCCTACCAGACAAAACTGTATTTAAACCATCCCCTAAGAATAGTTTATACTTCTGTTTCTTAAAAAAAATCACTCCTTGTTAACTGAATAAAGTAGGCTTTTATCGCACAAGTGTTTATTGTTTTTAACATACTATAATTTTAATGAATCTTTTTTTCTTACTTAGACACATTGAAAATACAGCTAACTTGTTTTTGTTGTCCACTCACTGAACAAAACAAAACAAAAAAAATCACTCCTTAGTTGTTACATTTCAGGAAGGTTAAAGGTCTACCACAAAAGCAGCACAATTCACAGGGAAGTTTCTTTCCCACTTCCTGTCAGATCATAGCTCTTGGAACAAGTGGGGAAAGCACTGTTACATTAAAGTCAGGAAACTGTGCTAAGGCACCACACAAGTCTTAAAGAGCAATGCATGAACAAGTCTAAAGAATGAAGTTAAAATCCCAAGTCGGACAAATAGTAATTAAATCAGCTTAGAAGTAAATAGGTTACTCCCTAACTAGTCTCCAGATTGGGAGAGACAAAATTGTGGTGTTTAAGAATTACATAGGCATCCAGGATATTTTGCAGCTCAAAAATAGATTTATTGTATAGCTCCAAAGGAGCTCTGGTGCACAGTGGTTAAAGCATTTGGCTACTAACCAAAAGGTCAGTGGTTTGAACCCACCAGCACCTCCATGGGAGAAAGATGAGGCAGTCTGCTTCTGTAAAAATTTATAGCTTTGGAAACCCTGTGGGGGCAGTTCCACTCTGTCCTACAGGGTCGGTCGCTGTGAGTTAGGTTTGGTATACAGCTCCATTATCTTTGTGATCAAATTTATCTCATTTAATTAATGAAAGAGAAATATTTTTGAAAAACTGTTATCAAAATGGAATTTGTGGAACTAATCCATTTATTGTTCTGTTATTATGTTATTCTTAGTAATCATTCCCAGAGAACAAAATTTGGCCACACACACAGTATATTACTTGAAGCAAATCACTGGCCTGACCCTAACTTAGAGGAGTGTGCCAGTTAAAGATAGCTCCTGTTCCTGTGCCCAGCACTTCGCCTGTATTGTCTTCAGTCCCCACAGTAAACTGGAAAAGGCAGTGAATGTTCCCACTGAACAGATGTGGGAACCAGCGCTCAGAACCGTGGTTCATGAGGTCAGCCAGGATTGGGTTTTGGGGGTGCTGGACTGCGGACGGGAAGCCCACGCTCTACCTCTGAATTCCAGGCATGCCCATAACCTTCGCTTTCCTCACCTCCTTGCTCCTCATCACTCACACTACAGACTGGGCATCTTGCTGTACCTTCCTCTCTGTGCTCCTCGGCATCCTGTAGTCACCAAGCCTATATACTCCTTTCTGAGCATCTCTGCTGTCTAAGTCTTTCCATCCCTCTGCTCCCTTCTACCTGCGTCTCATCCACTCTCATCACTCTTCTGAGTTACTTGTCTCCTCCCTTCAGTGTTTATTGTCAAAGCGATTGTTTTCAGAACTCAACTTGATCATGTTTCCTCCTAAAAACTCTTTAATGTTTTCCCTTGCTTTTTTTTTTTTTTTTTAAATTGTGATTTGGGTGAAAGTTTACAAAGCAAATTTACTTTCCATACAGCAGCTCACATACACTTTGTCTCATGACATCGACTACAATTTACCACAATGCAACAGCTCCCCTCCCACTTCCTCCCCATAGTTACCTCTTCCCTGTGTCCTTCCCTCCATGCACTCCTGTCTCCTGAGCTGTCTCCATGTGCATACACAGCCCTTCCATTCTCCCGTGATTGTTCTCTCCAAGGAGTGTATCTACCTAATGTAAATGTTCACCTCATATGCCTGTCTTTTGTTTGGCTGGAAGCCACAGGAGTGGATTCAATTCCGGACCTGAAGGGCAGCTAGGGGCCATAGTCTCAGTGGTTCCGTCAGGCTCTATCAGACAAGCAAACCTGGTGTCCCCCCCCCCCCCTTTTTTTTTTTGATGATTTTGAGTTTTGTTCCACATTGATCTCCCATTCTATCCAGGATCTCCTACATAGACCCCCCTCCAAATGGTTGACAGTGGTTGCCGAGCACCATCTAGTTCTGGTCTCGTCGTCATATAGGCTGAGGATTGCATGGTGTACCAGTCACTTGGACTAATTGTTTCCATGAATCTTTGGCTTTCTTCATTTTTCTTTACTCTGGATGAGGAAAGACCCATCATTGCATCTACATGGCTGCTTGCAAGCTTTTAAGATCCCAATCGCTACTTGCCAAAGTAGCATGTGGAACAGTGTTTTGTGTAGTATGTTATTCTAGTTGAGCTTGATGTCCCCTGCGACTATGCTCCCAAGCCCACAGTTCCAACTACTCATTCCCTCTGTGTTTTCCCTTGCTCTTAAGATGAAATCCGAACTTCCAGGTTAGACCACAAGACCCTATACTGCCTGTCCCTGCCCACCTCTCTAACCTCATCCAAGACCCTCTCCAGATGTTCTCTGTGCTCTGGCCAGCTTGACTTTCTTCATGTATTCATTCTTTCAAAAGACTTTGTGTTCTTTCCTACCACAGAGCCCTCATGCAGGCTCTTTCCTCTCTACCTGATCCCTTCCCCTACTAACCTGCTCGTCTTTTTAAAGAGGAGCTACCATTGCCCTGAGATCAACTTTAAACCTTAAACCAAAAGTATCCCCTGAAGTTTTCTTCCCCTGAAGTTTTCTTCAACAATAGTTTAGCTTAATTAGTAAAGAATGTCTTCCTTGAGCATTGGACTCTTTTAGCAACTATCAAATTGACTAGATGAGGAACTTAGAGAGGGCAATGAGTTTATAAGTTCATGGAGGAGGGACAGTTTGGCAAAGGAGGATGAATGGTTGAACAACTTGAAGATGGTAATCCGTGTTACTGTGTTGTACATGTAGAGATTGAATTGGTGTATGTTCTGCTGTGTATAGTAACGGCAAGAAAGACTAAAATAATTAAAAATAAAATGAAGCAAAAGAGACAGCTTCAATCATACTTCTTTAGGAAAGATTTCTCTGACCCTGAACTAGCTTTGGTCATTGTTTATGTACCTGGCAATTCATCCCCTCACCCTTCTCCTTTGAAACCTCATCATATTTCAGATACTTGGTAGATGTCTCTTTCTTATTCCTCATGAGGGCAGGGGCCATGTTTTCATATCCCAGATCATAGTGCTCTGCCTTATACCTGGTAGATGCTCCACGGAGCCTAGTGAATGAATGATGTTGTTCTCTCCCACCCCTCAGACTAACTTCTCAGGGCCTTATCTTGCTCCAAGAATCTATCTAGGTACATCTCCAGGGCAGGGCCTCAGACAGGCATGTCTTCCATGTCTCACTGCCTTGCATAGTTTTGTTTCCTCAAATGCTATGTGTGATGGACTTCTATTGACGTTTCTCTCCCCTTGCCACGGCGCAAGAAGTACTGTTCCACTTAGGGGCTTGGAACCAGGGTCTACACTTCAGAACTGGTGCCAACCCCATCTGGATAAGAATGCAGCCTCAGGCCATCACGTGCTATAGTGTTCCCTGTCTTACAGGCAGCAGGCTAATTTAATAAGAATAATATCTGTATATTGTTTTTCAGTTTATAAAGTGCCTTCATGAGTATAGTTCTAACTTTGTAGATTTTATTATATTCAGAGGTTTGTAATTATGGGGGTTGTTTCATTCCAGAGAACTTCTCGGCATCATAATAGTAATTTTTCAGTTTTTAAAGTGCTTTTATGAGTTCTAGCTTTGTTGTTTTTATTATATTTAGAGGTTTGTTAATTATGGGGGTTGTTTCAGTCCAGAGAACTTCTCAGCATCATCATAGTGGTTTTAGATCTTCTGAAAGTGGCCTTCACAAAGCAGGACTTGGTGCTCTGAACTCGGCCAGTACTCCCTTTGCTCCGGAGGGATTTTCATGAGAGATTTCTGTTCTGCCATTGATCATACTGTTTTTCCCATCTAGAATGTCATCATCTCCATCTTTCACATTTGAAACCAGTCATGATGTTTGTTTTGGTTACCTAGTGCTGCTCTGACAGGAATATACCACAAATGGAATGGCTTGAACAAACAGGAGTTTATTCTTTTGCAGTTTGGGAGGCTAGAAGTCTGAGTTCCAAGTGCCAGGCTCTAGGGGCTGTGGAAAGCCCTTCGACCTTGGGCTTCAGCTCTGCCTCTTGCTCCCGACCCACTGAAGCTAGCTGCATCTCTTCACTCAGGCAGATATTGGCTGCTGAGGCTGACAAACCCAAGGTTGACAAATAAAATGGCACAGTCCCAATGTTACCAAACCACATGGCAGGCCATTAATTCAAGTCCATTGTAACTCTCAAGGTAGGTAGGGCATGACAGGCTGCTAAACAATGACATGGCTATATGCAGGGTCCAAGCGTGCCATAAGCTACAGACCATTCCCCGAGGCTTCTCCTTATATACAGGAAGCAGACCACATCTGCTACTCAGCTGCTCACAGTAGATTCCACCATGGAATTGATTACCAGTCTCATCATGGGGAATATTACATCCAGCTGTCCAGCCACTCAATCAGGCCTAGCCAAGTTGACACACAAACTTAACTACCACAATGTTATAGTGTGTTGGTGAGTCAAATTTGACTCACAGTAACCCTATATAACACAATACAAGTGTCCATAAGGTGAAGGAGCTCTGGTGGTGGGGTAGTGCCTAATGCATTTGACTGCTAACCAGAAGGTTGGTGGTTCAAACCCACCAGCCACTCTGTGGAAGGAAAATGGGGCAATCTACTTCCATAAAGATTTACTGCCTCGGAAACCTAGTGAGGGTCGCTGTGAGTCAGAATTGACACGACACAGTGTCAGTGGGTTTAGGTTTTTTTTTTTTTGGTTGTTGTTTTAATTTATGGGAGCAGGCCGCCAGGTCTTTTCTCTTGTGGAGCGGCTGCATGGGTTCAAACCACTGACCTTCCAGTTAATAGCCAAGCTGTTAACCGGGGCTCCTTGAAAACAGTTATACCTGTCCTTAGTGGTCCTACTCCAACATATCTTCCTTCCAGAAGCCTTCCCAAATGCCTCCTGTATCATCCTCCTCTTTCATTTATGTCACCACTATGGCACTTGGCTACGGTTCATCTTCATTTGTGCTAATGGTTATCTGCATAAACACCAGACTACCCTTTGGCATCAAGAACTTTTACTTCGTTTTGTCTCATCACCTTTCACATCCTGGGGCTTAATGAAAGATTATCATTTGTGTGAACTGTGTATTCATTAGACTGTCCATCAAGCTATCACTTTCCTACATCATATCATTGAGATCTAACCTTTGTGCTTTTATGGTTTACCTAAATAACTGAAATAATATGCCCCGTCCCCTTTTTTTAACTTCTTTGTGTGATTTGGATGAAAGTTTACAAAACAAATTGGTTTTCCATTCAACAATTCATACACGTTTTGTGATACTGATTACAGTCCCCACGAATTAAGAGCACTCTTCTCACTCCCTCCATGTATCTGCTGTTTCCATTTGTCCTTCTCTTCTGTCCTCTTCTACCTTCTGAGCTTTATCCCTGGGCAGATGCTTCCCTTTTGGTCTTATATGGTTGATTTTTCTGAGGAGTGCATACCTCCCTGGTTACTGTTCATCTTAAAGGCCTGTCTGCTGTTCGGCTGAAAGTTGAGCCGCAGGGTGAATTCAGTGCCAGGCTTGAAGGGTATCTAAGGGCCATAATCTTGGGGGTGTCTATGGAATATTTCTGAAAATGCACAACTTGAATCCTTAAGCTTCAAATCTGGAGGATTATGTCAATGCTTTGCTGTCAGGTATAAAAACTTTTGTCCTCCTAGGTCCTTGTCATGTTCTCATTATCCAAGGTAATTAATGGATAGTATATCTCAAGGAGCTCTGGTAGCATAGTGCCCAAGGCACTTGACTGCTAACCAGAAGGCTGGCGGTTCAAACCTACCAGCCACTCCTCGGGAGGAAGGTTGGCAATCTACTTCCGTAGTGATAACGCCTTGGAAACCCAAGGAGGGGTTGCTATGAGTTGGGTCCGACTTGACGGCACATAACAACGACAACAAAATATCTCAAGACGGGCCATCCTGTATTAAAAGTCCTGTGGGAAAAAAAAGAAGAGCTGCTTGGATTAGTATTAGTTACAGTCCAGCAGCAGTATATAAAAGAAGAACCGGATAACAGACCTTGTTTCTTTTAATGCATTAGGAAAGAAAGAAACGTCAACTATTTCTTCTAACATTGTGTTATAAAGGGAGAAATGATCTTTCTGCATGGTACTCCACTTTTTTACAACCTTCGTCTGTTTCTCTGTTCTCAGCTTTTCTTCATGCATCTTCTGCCAAATTTTGCTGAGTGCTGGTGGGATCAAGTCATTCTGGACATCCTGTTGTGCAATGGCGGTGGCATCTGGCTGGGCATGGTGGTTTGCCAGTTCTTAGAGATGCGGACTTACCACTGGGCGAGCTTCAAGTGAGTCGTCTCCTTTTTGGACACTCGTCACAGTTTTTCATAATGTATGTTTTTGTGCTTTAGCAGAATACAGCTTTATAGCTTCTGATGTCTTTGATGCAAAAGAATAAATTACACATCAGTGATTGAAACTCATAATTGATCATAAAGCTAATTTCAGGCATTCACCTAGAAAAATGCTGCATCATTTACAATTGTTTTTTCTGTCTCTCACCCCATATATACAGAGGGTCCTGACACCCTCTTGGTTCGAAATATTTCTCAAATGCATTGCCTCCATTGTGGCCCTACTGCGTCAACCTGCATCACTGAGTTCATCAGCCCCTGGTTAGCTTACCCCCTAGGTTAATCCCTCCAGTCCTCTCACCACTGCTGGAGTGGTCTTTTCAGGAATGTCAGGTTCATCATGACATTCCCCTGGGTTGGCTTCTCATTGTTTTTAGGATAAAGTGAGCATGGATGAGCCCGGCATGTGAGGTCCCGTTGTCCACGCCTTCCCAGGCGTGTGAGGTTCTGAGTCTGCGATTGACTCACGTGCCCATGGGCCAGGCTGACTCATCCTTTCTTACCTGACTCACTCCTGTGTCTCGTCTTCAGGAAGGCCTCTCTGACTTCCCAGAGTAGTTGCATGTCCTTCCTCTGTGCTTCCATAGAGGACAGTTTTTACCTGTCATTGCTTTATCCTGCCTTGTTGGACTCACTTTTCAACTGGACTGTGGCAGGAACCCTGCCATTGATGAGAACAAGGAGGAAAAGAACCATAAGAGTGGTAATAAAAGTCATTGTTGTTTTCATTGTGTTTAAAACTTAATTATAAGCATTTCCCCACATCATTAAATATTCTTCTCAAATATGATTTAAAGAACTTCTTCATATCCCAGTGTGTGGGTAAACCATGAAATATTTAACCAGCTCTCTTTTGTGATTAATTGTTTCAAAGTTTTTGCTTTTATGAAGAAGGAACAATCTTGAGCTTATTATATCTTTGTATGCATCTCTGGTGGGTTTTTTGGTAAATTTTTAGAATGATATTACACTGATATACACTATTACCTATAACGTAAGCATTTGTCCATTTCATTGTTTCCTTGAACTTTATTTTTAAAGTTTTGTCAATTTTTTCACACATAAAATTATGTGATATTGGATTTCTGTTCTGTTTTTATTGGATTTCTCTTCTCTCATTAGTACTTTTTGTATTGATTAAGGAGATTAACAGTTTCTCATAAATGTGAGTTTATTTTTCCATTTTGTCATTTCCCCTTTTCATTTTGTTTGTGGTATATGTTTCATTTAAACTTAAAAACCTTTTAATTTTTTCATTTAGATGAATGTTTATTTGTATATTCTTCTAGTTCTTTAATAGGTTTTTTTTTTTTTTTTTTCAAATTACAAATAACTTATTTAACATGTCTTTATTTTAGTATATGGTATGACGGGGAGTGTTCACAATGCTTTTGCAAATGATTGATTTTTCCCATGCTGTTTAGGAAATAAGCCTTTCTTTGGCCACTTTTCCTACATTTAAGGTTGTAGAGAATGTAGCAGGGAACAGTGGCTGTGCTGGGTATTACCCCAAGCAAGCCTTATAGGAAGTCTCTCGTTTGAGCCTTGCTTCAGTCCTAGAAGGAGACACTGTTCTTCTCTTCCTTCTAGGGTGGATGAAACTGAGCCTTCGGTCTGTTAATTTACCCCAGGACACACAGCTAGTAAGCAGTTGATTCTGAGTCGGCACTTGCTGTCTGACTCCTTAAACAGGGTGCCACAGTGCTCCCCTGTTTCTATGCACTGATGCTTCTCATTTGACTTTCAAATCTTTCTGCCGAGTTCCAAGATGTAAGCCCATCCAAGAAACAAAAAAATTCCATTCTTTCTAATGACATTCAATATAGAACTGAATATAAGTTAAATTGGATTGAATTACCGTCTTTATTATGTTAAATATTCTGGCTCTTGATTATACAGTAGCTGTTTATTCCAGTCTTCCCCTGCATTTGCCATAAAGCTTTGCCATTTTTTTTTTTTTTTTTTAACAGGACCTGAATTGTTCTTGTTTATTTTTAGATAATATCTTTTTATTTTTGCAATTATTTACTGAATCTTCTCTTTGCCGTATTTTCTCAGTAAATACATGTTGATGGATAGGAAGGTAGATGAAAGAATAGACTGGCTTTCCTATCTCTGCCGCTCAACCCAGCCCTCCAGTAGAATCAGTAGTCCCTTAGGACAGCGACCAGGCCTGACCTTTTCACACTTGTGCCTTCAGCAGTTAGCACAGTCTCTGATGTATAAACCAGCCACTGGCCCCTGAGTTGACATTGACTCAGGCGACCCCATGTGTGTCGCAGTAGGACTCTGTACCTTAGGGTTTCCATTTACTAGTTTTTCAGAAGTTGATTGCCAGACCCTTTTCTTCCATGGTATCTGTGGTTTGGCTCAGACCACCAACCTTTCCATTAGCAGCCAAGTGCTAACTGGTTAGTTTTTTGTACCACCCAGGCCCTCTTAATTCAAAAAGATCCTTGATGGGAATATTTGTTGAATTAATGAGTCTTTCCTAGTTCTCAGCTGGCATTTCCTTTGGATTTTGGCTTCCTGAACTAGTATGAGAGGGTTAGAGTCTGCACCCAGCTCTGTTGCATCCAGGGTGAGCTTTCATCAGCCAGTTGCTCTTGCTGAGCCTAAAGCCTTCCTATTTGTAAAATGTGGAATTGCTTGTTGCTGTCATGGAGATAGTGCCTAAGGCATTTGACTGCTAACCAGAAGGCTAGTGGTTCAAACCCACCAGCCACTCCTCAGAAGGAAGGTTGGGCAATCTATTTCCATAGTGATAATGCCTTGGAAACCCAAGGAGGGGTCGCATGAGTCAGATCCGACTCCATGACGTTGAGTTGCAGTTGCATTGTCATGGAGATAAAGGAGCTCTGGTGGTACAGTGCCCAAGGCATGTGACTGCTAACCAGGAGGTTGGCTGTTCAAACGCATCAGCCACTTCACAGAAGGAATACTGGGCAGTCTACTTCTGTAAACATTTACCACTTTATAAATGCAATGAGGGTCGCTATGAGTCAGAATCAACTTGATGGCAGTGGGTTTGGTTTTTTTGGTGGTTTTGTCATGGAGATAAGACAATTTTAGTTGCATGATTTCTAAGATTAAAACTAAGAAAGGGTGAAGACTACTGCTTATCAACCCAAAAGTGTTCACTTCTTTAGGGACAAAATGGGGTAAAAAAAGGATGTAGGTAAACTTAGGAATAAGAAGCCCTGGTGGTGCAATGGTTAAGCTCTCAGCTGCTAAGCAAAAGGTTGGTGGTTCAAACCCACCAGTGGCTCTGTGGAGGAAAAGACCTAATGGTCTGTTCCCATAAAGATCACAACCTGGGAGACTGTGTGGGACGGTACTCTGTCATATGGGGTCGCTGTGAGTCAGAATCAACTTGACGACACACAGCAACAGCCTTAGGAATATGAAGCATTTTCTTTATCTTCCTGACACACTTCAGCTTTGGGGCCCGCAGTGAATGAGGCCAGCAGCCGTGCAAGCATCCACATTGTGCCTGGGCTGCTTCTAGTTGTCATCCTGAGTGTCTCTCAGCTGTTGTCACCAGTTCACAAATGAAGACTTTCTGGCCCTGCATTAACCTGCCCTCTGTTGATGACGATGACAGCTCCATGCTGCACCTGTCATCCTAAAGTCCTTATCAAGTGTGTGTCTCTCACTCGCTTCACCTGTGCATAGCGAGGCCATTGTTTGAGAGACAGTTCATATAGAAAGGGGGCATTTTGTTCTGAGCGTTTGTTATAAAGGCATCAGTGCACAAGGTTTTTGCTATCTTTTTTTTCCCCTTGCTTATCTCTTCTTACAGGGACATTCATACCACCACTGGGAAAATCAAAAGAGCCGTGCTGCAGTTCACCCCTGCTAGCTGGACCTATGTTCGCTGGTTTGACCCCAAATCTTCCTTCCAGAGAGTGGCTGGGATATACCTTTTCATGATCATCTGGCAGGTATTTTTAAAATTTTTTTTTAGATACCAAGAACTAGAAAAATGGGTAAATAGAAACCTGGGAATTTGGAGTTCATGTTAGTTTTCATTGCTTGTCAGCTAGATGCCTGGGGAGATACAGTGCTCTCCAGTTGGCATATAGAATAATTAAACAACATGATGTGATGAGTAGTGTCTTGCTTCACTGTGAAGACATTTTAAAATATGGATCTTTGAATGACAAATTAGAAACAGATTAGAATTCCCTGGGGGGACGGGTAGTAGTGTTTTAGCATCCATCACCCAATGAGTCTGGCAGCAGATTGTTACAATGATCATTTTTAAGATTAAAGGGACAAATGGACAGACTTTTCTGATGTTCCAGTCAAGTTCAATGTTTGAATTTTAAAATTGTACCTCAGTTGTTAGGAGCTCTGGTAGCATAGTGCCTAAGGCATTTGACTGCTAACTAGAAGGCTGGCGGTTCAAACCCACCAGCCACTCCTCAGAAGGAAGGTTGGGCAATCTACTTCCGTAGTGATACTGTCTCAGAAACCCAAGGAGGGGTCGCTGTGGGTCAGGGCCAACTTGATGGCACATAACAACAACAACAACACCACCTCAGCTGTTATTGCATTGAGTACTTTGTAGAAGCTATATAATGAAGCCCTGGGCTACCTAGGGAAAGTGGACAATGCTGATGATCTCGGTGTTCCAGCTTGTTGACAGTGGGAGGAAGCTCTGCTTCCAAGCAGACAGTTACATTCTGGAAGTAATGTAGATAGCTAAGCATCTTGGAAAAGGATTATCAGTGTCTCTGGTTTCTAGAGCCAGCCTTCTTAGTGATCTTCCTGTCTCAGGTTAATTGTTTCACATCTTTTGGAGAATAACTGAGGGAAACTAGCTCTTGGTTGAAGTGTCCTTTAGAATCATCAGAAATTCTATTTTGAGCACATGCACAAAATGCTCCCAGAGGACCTTCCTTGTCCACACTTGGAGGATAACAATGCTTGTTTTAATAAAGGGAGTTTATGTATACAGAAGTGCATGTGAATATTTAAATAATCAGCATGGTTTGGAGAAGTCAGTATTTATACAAATGGGACTCTGAATGGATGGGGATAAGCTTTATCTGATCAGGACACATGTGGCCAAAGCTGGAAGCTTCCCTTGAGCATTAGAAAAATCAAGGAGGAGCAGTTTGTCAAGGAGAGACAATGTTGTGCTCCTGAACAGGAACTGCCTGGTCGCATTCCATAGACCTCATCTTTCCCATGGGTGTGAATGGAGCACTGTGACCAGCTTTCCATCTGCAGTGTTCACTGGTGGACCATTTTATATCCTTGAAGTCAGTACTGTGGGGAAATGGCACATGTTTTGTTTTGTTTTTAATTGTGATTTGGATGAAGATTTATAGAGCAGATTCACTTTCCATACAGCAGTTCACATACACTTTGTCTTATGACATTGACCACAGTTCACCACAATGCAACAGCTCCCCTCCCACTTCCTCCCAATAGTTACCTCTTCCCAGTGTCCATCCCTCCATACTCTTGTGCCCCCTGAGCTGTCTCCTTGTGCATAAGCAGCCCTTCTTTCTCCCATGATTGTTCTCTCCAAGGAGTGTATCTACCTGAGGTAAATGTTCAACTCACATGCTTGTCTTTTGTTTGGCTGGAAACCACAGTTGTGTGTTCAATTCCAGACCTGAAGGGCAGCTAGGGGCCATAGTCTCAGTGGTTCCACCAGGCTCTATCGGACCAGTAAACCTGGTCCCCCCCCCCCTTCTTTTCTCCAAATGATTTTGAGTTTTGTTCCACATTGTTTTCCCTCTCTATCCAGGATCTCCTACATAGATCCCCTTCCAAGTGGATGACAGTGGTAGCCGGGCACCATCTAGTTCTTCTGGTCTCATAGTTGTATAGGCTGCAGATTGAATGGCGTACCAGTCGCTAGGACTAATTGTTTCCATGAGTTTTGGTTTTCTTCATTCTTCTTTGCTCTGGACAAGGAGAGACCCATCGTTGCATCTGGATGACAGCTTGCTAGCTTTTAAGATCCCAGTCACTACTCGCCACAGTAAAAGGTGGAACAATGTTTTGTATAGTATATTATGCCACTTGAGCTTGATATCTCCTGTGACTATGGTCCCAAGCCCACAGGTTCAACTACTCGATCCATCTTGGTAGCTGGCTGTTACCAAGCAATGGCCACAACTTTGCCCCTTGTCAGCTCTACTATACACCTGGGAATTCTGATCATTCACATAAACTTATAGGACCATTGTCTGCCAACCCTGTACATGTTCTTGGATACACTTCCCATTTCATAGACATACCTAATCATTCAGCCTGTCCACCCATCTATCCACCCATATACCCATGTTTGCCTTCACTGACAACACAGTACTATATGTGCAAAAGGGTTTGTTCATCTTTGTTGTCTGTGCTTCCCACGTACCTCTCTATGTCTTTCTCATCCTCAATGCCGCCATATTGGTCACTCACATTTGGTACATTGCCCTTCTCTTCACCCAAATCAATACTTACCTCTATCTATCTAACAGCATTCCCTTCCCTTCCCTCCCACCCCTGGTAACCAACAAAGAAAATTTTCTTCTATAGATAAACCTTTCCTTAACTTTTACAATAATGGACTAATACAATATTTGTCCTTTTGTGATTGACTTATTTCACTCAGCATAATATCCTCCAAGTTCATCCACGTTATGCAGTGTTTTGCAGATTCTACATTATTCTTTAGCGTTGCATAGTATTCCATTGTGTGTACGTACTATAGTTTGATTATCCATTCCTCAATTGATGGACACTTAGGTTGTTTCCATTGTTTGGCTATTGTAAATAGTGCTGCTATGAACGTGGGTGTGCATGTATCTGTTCTTGTCATGGCTCTCACTTCTTTAGGGTATATACCTAGTAATGGAATGGCTGGGTCAAATGGTATTTCTATTTCCAACTTTTGAGGGAATCGCCATACTGCTTTCCACAAGGGTTGTACCATTTTACAGTCCCACCAGCAGTGTATGAGAGTCCCAATCTCTCCACAACCTCGCCAGCGTTTGTTATTTTCTGTCTTGTTGAACTTTGCTACTAGTGCTGGAGCAAGATGGTATCTCATTGTTTTTATCTGGGGGAAATGGCACATGTTTTATGTAATTGAAATGAGACTGCCAGCTCATAATATAGGTTCTGAAAGCACAGTGCACTTTTATGGGATCTCAGTACAGTATATGCATTGACCAATCAGGGCTGTCAATTAACCAGTTGACCAATCAGAGACACTTGTGGTCATCTCTGCCCTTTACTTGAAGTCTGGAGGAGAAATGAGGAGCCAGCTTTTGGGTGCAAAGCAGTCACATGCCAAACACAGTCTCTTTTATGCTGCCAAGGACTCATCATGTGATGAACTGTGTTAGGAAGCCAACTTCAGTGGAATGTGCCTCTGCCCCTAGGTGAAACTTGGACCAGCCCTTTACAACCACCACCATTGGTTGTAGATCTCCTTGGTCCCAGGCAAGTGCTAGATGGCTACTCAGTCATCATTCTGTGATGGATCTCAAGCTTGTGGTTATCAGAGTTCACTTTTCTAAAAGAAATTGGGCTTCTTTTAGACTTAGCTGATTTCTGGGTGTCTGTCTTATTCACATATTTGATTGCAGCTGTTCTCAAAGCATTCCTTTCTAGCTGTCCCAGCGGATCATACAGAGACCCAAGTGACAGTCGTATGAACCAGGTACTGGTACTTCTGGCAGAAGTCTGGGGCCGATGTTCACCCAACATGCTCCAGAATAGCTGTGCCACATGTGAAATATTACCGTGTTTCCACACCACTGAAGAAATAGCAGGAGTCCCTGGGTGGTGCACACGGTTAAACACTCAGCTATGAACTCAAAAGGCATGGCTATCTGCATCTGAAAGGTTGTAGCCTTGAAAACCCTATGAGCACAGTTCTACTCAGAAAACAGGGTCACCCTGAGTTGGAGTTGACCTGACAGCAACTGGGTTGGTTTTTTTTTTTTGAACAAATAGCCAGTGCTGTAAGCCAGTCCCTGTGTGCCCTTCTCACCATGCCTGTGCACACACACACACACACACACACACACATGAACACTCCCCCCCCAAAGCTCTGATTGGTTGATGCATGTTGTGAAAATGCTGTGAACATATCAGTGTAAAATTTCTATTAAGGGAGGAATTATGACCGTGACTTAGCATGAAATACAAGGTTAACTAATTCTCCCTTCTTTTTCAGCTTACTGAGTTGAATACCTTCTTCTTGAAACATATCTTTGTGTTCCAAGCAAGTCATCCGCTAAGTTGGTGCAGAATTCTCTTTATTGGTGGCATCACCGCTCCCACAGTGAGGTAATTCTGAACAAGCCTGGCTGTCATGTGAGGGGGCTGACCTGCTTTATGTTCTCTCTTGAGCATGAGGGAGGTCACATCAACTTTCAATCCGTGAAGACGCTATTCTGACGAATCTCACGGGGCCCTTGGATAGTGCTGGCAGTTGCCATGCTCTGCTGCTAACTGAAAGACTGCCCAGAGAGGCACCTTGGAAGAAAGGCCTGGCGGCTGCTTCCAAAGGTTGACCATTGAAAACCCTGTGAAGCACAGTTCTGCTCTGACACGTGAGGCTGCCATGAGAAAGAGTCGGCTCCATGGCAACTGGTTAAAATGTTGTCCATCCAGAATATCAAGAAAATGCAGTCAGACCTCGCTCAGGAGCATTGGGCCTTTAGGGAAAAAGGCAAACAATCAACCCTGTACCAGTTGTATCATTCATGAATGTCAAACCCCTTTACAGTCTTTTACTGCTATTCTTTTTTTCTGTAACATCCGATTTTAAAAAGTAGCAGCATTGACCTTGACTTTTTTAATAAATGTTGGAAATTACAAAAGGTTTAAAGTGGAAGAGAAGTCATATATGACATTTGTAGAATGCAGCTTTGTTAGGTTTTTCAGACCACTTGAGCCCGTTTCCTTTCAGAAGGAGCTCTGTGGGCCTCCAGGATGACTGAGGTAAGCTTGGGGGCGGTAATGGTGTTACTCCCCGGGTTCTTGTAGGCCCTGAAGGTAAGGCACTGCTCACACACTGCCCTTTACATAGACCAACCTTTAGGGAACTTTGAAGTCATACATTTCCATTTGTTGCATTTTTCCTGTTTAGAAATGGCATTTGGGTTCATGACTTAGGTGGAGTCCTGGCATTGATCAGCAGGAACACCAGAGCTTCCATATAGAATTTCATTTACTTTGAGACTTGCCATTATTTTCAGGAAATATTAGCAGAAGTTCCTTCGTAAAATTAGGAGCCATCAATAAAGTCAATAAGAGGGAGAACAAAGGTCTTATAAGACAAAATAGCAAATCATATCTGATCTATCATGAAGTTTCAATGTTGTTAAACACTTCAAAACAAAAAGTAGGGACTAGAAAGCATAAATTTTGAACTTTTGAGAGCTTCTCAGATTTTTTTGACAAATCCTTTGGATTTCGATACAATCATTTTTGCATAGAAATAAATCACTTTCGGAGGTTACACTGTTTGAGGCAATCCCCGTGTAAGCAGATGCTTTGACAGTTTATTTAGGAAGATGACAGTGCTCTGACTGGTTCTGCACAGCCATCCCGTTTACTAAAGCCAGACCCGAAAGGGAGATGAAGCTCTAGGATGCAGATGTACACACTGAGTCTCCATTTTCTTCCGTTCTGATTAGACTTTCTCTTGACTCTGCTTTTAGAAAGCATTTGAGTGAATATTTCTTTTATCTGATCATACAAAGTGCAGTATGATGGAATGGTGCTAACTCTCTGAATTGCTAAAAAGCGAAATAGTTCATGAATATGTGAAGTTAGATGAAAACCTGAATTCTTTAGAACAGAATTCTTCACTCAGGTCTTTGCGAGAAGGAGGTGCCAGTTCATGGTTGAGCTTTCGGTATCCATGGATCCTCTGGTGTTGAGAGAAAAATTGTATGTGCAGGTGTTGTGTGCCTTTATCATAGGCATCATCAGTTCCTCAGAGGAGTCTGTGACCCCACCAAGACTATGAGCTATGGTTCAGATATTACTTCTGAAAGGATAGATTGAGTTTGGGGGTAATCAGCAGTAAGACTCTAAGCCTGTGCTGTCCAGTATGGCAGCCACTCACCCATGTAACTACCGAGCACTGGGAACATGGCTAGTTCACATTAAAATGTGCTATAGGTGTAAAATGCGTGCCAGTTCTCTAAGACTTAATACTATAAATATATACCCCTGTGTGTAGCACTTTACTCCATGGGATTTCAATGGAAAATCTCTTGCTAGGCACCTCTGGGTGCCTTGAACCTTCAGCCTTTCAGTTAGCAGCCAAGTGCATTACCTGCTTGCACTCCACACGAACTCCTTATACTGATTACATGTTGAAAGTAAAAATTTTTTTTTGATATATTGGATTAAATAATAGTAAAATTACTTTTATTTTTTACTTTTTATGTGGCTACTGGGTAGTTTTAAATAGTATCTGTGGCTCACATTGGTTGCACATATTACATTTCTGTTGGACTGTGTTGCTCTGTCTAAACCTTTACCATGTCATAGCCTCTTTTTTCTGACCTGGTCAGTAACATTTAAAATCACTGGCATTCATTTGTTCATGAACAACTACCTCTTTTGCCATGAGACCAGAACTGAATGGTGACCAGCTGCTATTTATTACTAAACATTTTGATCAAACATACTATAGAAGAATCCTGATAGAAAGCGGAAAAGTACAGAACAGAATTTCAAATGCTTATGGAATCCAGACTTCCTGGAGCCATGGAGGCTGGATCTGAAAGTAAGGCCTTGAGATAATTTTTAAATCCTAAACCAAAAATAGGAGCTCTGGTAGCATAGTGGCTAAAGCACTTGACTGCTAACCAGAAGGCTGGCGGTTCAAACCCACCAGCCACTCCTCGGAAGGAAGGTT